CTCCGAGTTCTAATTACAAAATCTCCATTAATCTTTTGCACAAATTACGACTGCTATATGTATATTACAATTGTAGTCTCTTAATTTATTGCCACTAACAATATTCTCACCTAGTTACACCACCACAAAAGCAAGTATATTAAATTTTTCTCGCAACAGTTCTTTGTCACATTAAAATTAATATCTATCATTTAATATTCCCATTAACTACTAATTTGATTATAATTAATTAATAAATGTGATCATGAAAAATTATAATTTAACATCGTCTAAATGAACGTCGTTAAATATTAATTTAACATCGTCTCAGGTCACTTTACTTCAATTTATACGTTCTTTTTCTGCTACCGTGAAACGCTTTATTATATTTATTTGTACAATAATTGCAATGATTGTTTATGGAGTTATGTACTATTAACGTTTTCTTTCGCTATTGGGATAACACGGCTATGGTGATGATATTTTATATGCACTTCTATGCTTGTTCAATTAACTGCATAATATACCACGGGGTAGTTCTTAACGATGTACCGATGGCAACCCACGAGTTGGCGCGCGGCTGACTTGAAGAGCCACGGCTTCCATTGGCCAGAATAGAAAAATGGCCTCACGTATTTTCGGCGGAACAATTGGCTCTCGCGGTCACGTAATTAGGCGAAAAACAATGACAGTCGGCAAACGTCTCTCGAGTGAACGAGATAGCGCGAATTGCATTCAGCAGTTGTTATTGTCATTATTATTCTTATGCGCCTGTATGTAACGCTGGAAGCGTTCACGGTGGGGATAGAGCTTCTTTTACTTTGGGTCCTCACGCGCCAACTCGTGGGTTGACATCCGTACGTAAATTATTACGCCTAAATTGAAAATTCGCGCGTACCAAAAATACGAGAAAAATTGACAATATTTGAACTGCGAGTGCGTCACGAGTGCGTCATAGCACACGCGCCAACTCGTGGGACATCCGTACGTAAATTATTACGCCTAAATTGAAAATTCGCGCGTACCAAAAATACGAGAAAAATTGACAATATTTGAACTGCGAGTGCGTCACGAGTGCGTCGTAGCTCAACTTTTCATTATTGAACATGTTTATAATGTACGTATATCTATTAGTATGTATTTAACTCCAGTAAATAGCGTAGTAATTAATACAATGTATATGCTTCAGCATGGCAATGTAGAATTTTGTATTGTATGACTGTAGTAGATAACGAGTAGCAAGGTTGATATATTATAATTTGATCTACGCTGCCTAATATATTTTTGTAATGTAACACAATTAATTATATTTATTTGGTTCGATGTGTGTGTAACTGGCGTGCACGGTAGGCTTCCTTTGGGAAACGGCGATATAGGGAGAGGAACGTGCATTACTCGGTGCAACGCGTTATTAATTTAACAATTTTCTAGTTAATATCACATATTCAAGTTTGTTATATCACATTTGAGAATTTGGAAATTTTCAAGTTTGGGAATTTAAGAAATTGAAAATTCGGAGATTTGGAAAATTGAGAAGTTAGGAATTTCAGAATTTGAGAATTTGGGGGACTCAGAATTTGGAAATTTTAAGATTTGAGAATTTAGGGAATTTAGGGAATTTAGGGAATTTAGGGAATTTGTGAATTTGGGTAATTTAAGAGTTTCGCATTTGAGGAATTTGGGGAACTTGAGAAGTTAGACACGTTAAAAATTTAGAGAATTTAAGAGTTGCAGACAATTTGAAAATTTGAGTTCACAAATTTTGAAGATTTGAAATTTTGGGAAATTAAAAATTTCCTGGTATTCGAACATCTGGGGAACTTGAGAATTTTTCATTCTGAGAATTAGGTAAATTTACAAATGTGAAAATTTAGAAACTTCCCACTCAAAAAATTCAAAAATTTGAAAATTCCATAGCAAACTCAAAAATTCAAAAATTCGAAAACCTGCACTCTTGATTAAAATTTAATTTTGAACTCCTTTACTACATTTTCCAAAAAGCACTGCAGTAAAGTACGCTCCTCTCCCTACACTAAAAGATGCAACTAAAAAATCGAGTATCCACCGAATGAAAATCAAACAACAAAATTCGATCTCCCACACGGAAGTCTAATTTAGAAATATATATCTATTCATAATACGTTTATTCCGTAGAATATCGCTTTTTTATCGTACATGTACTTGTTCGTAAGAGGACTGTATGCCTAGACAGTTATGTTGTATAATGTAACCGAAACTTACAATGTAACGTTACAGGACACCGAACACAAAGACACACAGCGGAAAAAGCAGAAGCAGTGAAACTATGTGTCGGATGACACATATGGATGACATATCGTGGAAACATTTCCCGCTCGTAATTAAACGGTGAAACATCGTTGCGGTGATATTTCAGAAACTGCATTACAAGGAATCAGAACCGCTTCCGGTTTCCATGGCTATTAATTATAACAGTAATTCCGGTTTCTCGGTTGTTTCACGTTCAACGTTGGTTTACCAACATTGGCATTAACTTCATCAGGGCACTCTAAACGTATCTACCTCCTATCTCGGGGAACTGTTCCTGAACTCGTTCGGAACCGTCGTATAACTTGAAAATTCGAATTACATTTCGAGATAATCCGGAAACTTTGCTAAGTGACTAAGAAACCTGTAATTACGGAATCATTTCTTGATGATTGTTATGTTCGATCGTGTATGGGAGTTTAGTTGTAGTTGACGAGTATAGGTAATTATGAGATAGATGTGATCGATTGATAAGGGTAATTTGGGAAATAGATTTTTTATTTTTAGATTTTTATTTTGGGTAGCGCAAACTTTGGAGTTTGGGCATTTGAGGAGATAGAGACTTAGGAATACGGGGATTTATGAAATTTGGGGAATTTAGGAATTTTTGGATTTGTGGAATTTTAGGGACTTTTGGAATTTTGGGATTTGTGGAATTTTAGAGACTTTTGAAATTTGGGAATTTGTGGAATTTTGGGGTTTATGAAATTTGGAAACTGGAGAATTTGGGAATTAGAGAATTTGGGAACTAGGGAAATTTGGGAACTAGAGAATTTGGGAACTAAGGAAGATTGGAACTAGGGAATTTGGAAACTAAGGAAATTTGGGAATTTGGGAACTAGGGAAATTTGGAACTAGGGGATTTGGGAACTAGGGAAATTTGGAACTAGATAATTTGGGACCTAAGGAGTTTTAGAATTAGGGAATTTGGGAACTAGAGAGTTTTGGAACTAGGGAATTTGGGAACTAGGGAAATTTGGAACTAGAGAATTTGGGACCTAAGAAGTTTTGGAACTAGGAAATTTGGGAACTAGAGAGTTTTGCAACTAGGAAATTTGGGAACTAGGGAAATTTGGGAACTAGGGAATTTGGGAACTAGGGAAGATTGGAACTAGGGAATTTGGGAACTAGGGAAATTTGGAACTAGAGAATTTGAAGCTAGAGAATTTGGGAACTAGGAAAATTTGGAATTAGAGAATTTGGTACCTAAGGAGTTTTGGAACTAGAGAGTTTTGGAACTAGGGAAATTTGGAACTAGAGAATTTGAGACCTAAGGAGTTTTGGAACTAGAGAATTTGGGAACTAGGGAAATTTGGGAACTAGGGAATTTGGGAACTAGAGAGTTTTGGAACTAGGGAATTTGGGAACTAGGGAAATTTGGAACTAGAGAATTTGAAGCTAGAGAATTTGGGAACTAAGAAAATTTGGGTACTTGTAAAATTTTGATAATTTGTGGAATTTGAAGACTTATGGAATTTTGGGGATTTATAGAATTTGGAGGATTTATAGAATTTGGGGGTTTATAGAATTTTGAGATTTATAGAATTTGGGGATATGTAGAATTTTGAGGATTTATGGAATTTAGGGAATTTAGGAATTTGGGTACTTGTGGAATTTTGAGAATTTATGGAATTTTAAGATTTATGGAATTTTGATAATTTACGGAAGTTTGAGAATTTATGGAAGTTTGGGAATTTATTGAAATTTGATAATTTATGGAATTTGGAAATTTAGGTATTTGAAAATCTGAACATTTGAAAATTTAGAAAATTTGAGAATTTAAAAATTTGGAATTTCAGAAACTTGGAAGTTTAACCATTTCGAGAAATACTGTGATTAAAAATTTGACAATTTTTGTATCAAAAACCTCAGAAATTAACAAATTAAGAAAACTGACAATTTAAAATTTTCAAAAATTAAAAATAACTTGAAACCCTAAAAATTTATGAATTTGAAAATTCTCAATCTTGAAAAGTTGCAAATTTAGAAAATTAATAATTATGAAATATTCGAGGATTTGTAAAATAAAAAATTGACTACTTTCCACATTTAATTTTAAAATTTCAAAATTTCTACTAAACTTTAAATTTTCTATATTTAAAAGTATCAAGAAAGCTCTATACAAAAATTTCAAAATATGTCCATTAAAAAATTTCAAAATTTTCAAAATTTTCAAAATTTCCACTAAATTTCAAATTTTCTATATTTAAAAATTTCAAAAAATCTCCATTCAAGAATTTCATAATATGTTCGTTCAAAAATTTCCAAATTTCTACTAAATTTCAAATTTTCTATATTTAAGAATTTCAAAAAATCTCCTTTCAAGAACTTTAAATTATCTTCATTCAAAAATTTCAAAATTTTCAAAATTTCCACTAAATTTTAAATTTTCTATATTCAAAAATTTCCAAAAATCTCCACACATAAATTTCAAAGTTTCAAAAAATCTCCACTCACAACTAGCAAAATTCCAAAATTCCCTAAAAGAATTTCAAAATTCTAAAATTTCAAACTTTCCCCTGAAAATCTGCAAATACAAAAATCTAAAGTCTTACGTCAAAAATTCTCTCTACAATATTTCTTCGCAACGATGTTTCCAAAAATCTCCACTTAACCAAAAGTCATCCACATGTGTCACTAAACAACAACCCAACAGTACAACACCACAACACAAACCGAAAAATGCCCACGCAGCTGAAGGCAGTGAACAAAAGCGACTCTATGTAATTTTTCAGAATGCAAGCTGAATTGGTACCATCACAACGACGTTTGCGTGTACCAGTGTCCACCAGGGACTTACGGAATTTCCGACGAGACAAAATCGGTCTGTTCCGGCTGTCACTATACCTGCCAAACCTGTTCGGGTCCTTCTAACACCGAGTGCACCAGTTGCCACGAAGACGCCGATTTCATCGCGAACGAATCGCAATGTGTCCTGTCAGAACTTTCTTGGATGATGCAGTCCACGCTCTGGTTCTACTGGATGACCATTTTGTTCGTGATCAATCTGATTTGTTTCGCGATTCTCGCGATTTATAAGGCAGTCAAGTGGTATCTGCGAAAGAGGAGCTCCATGAAATTTCGATACAGCAAGGTCGCTTACTCCGGGAACGGAGACGCGAGCAAGGATATCGACAGGCTGCAAGAAAATGGGACTCTCTCCGATAGCGAGTGAAAAGGCGTTGAACACGATTTATGTCGGCTGTGCGGTGGGAATTTGGGAGAGACGAGTCGGTGCTGGGACAATTTTGAATAAATTAGGTTGAAGGTTTGAGAAATAGGGCAATTTGAAGCAGTGTTTGTTGTTTAATAGATTGTTGAGATTTCAAGAATTTGGGATTTTAAGTTTTTTTTTAGGATTTTCAAATTTTTACTGTTCTAAATTTTGAGTTTATAGATTTTTACGTTGACGTATTTTCAAATTCCTACATTTTTGAGTTTTGAAGGTGTTTTAATTTCTGAATTAGCAAGTGACTGAACTTTGGGGAGAGAGAAATTTGAAAATTTCTGTCTTCTCGAATTTCCACATTCCCGAATTTGCAATTATATTTTCACCTTTCCAGATTTTCAATTTTCCCATTTTCTACATTTCCAATTATCCAATTTTCCATATTTGCAATTTTCCATGTCGCCAATTTCCCAGTTTTCCAATTTCCCATATTTTCAATTTTCCATTTTTCTAATTTTCCATATTTCCAATTTCCCATATCTCTAATTTTCCATTTTTCTGATTTTCCATGTTTCCAATATTCCATTTTTCTAATTTTCCATATTTCCAATTTTCCATTTTTCTAATTTTCCAATCTTCCAATTTTCCACATTTCCACTTTGAAATGTGGAAAATTTTCAATTTTTCAATTTTCCAATTTCTCATTTTTCCAATTTTCAAATTTTCCAAGTTTCCAAATTCTTAAAGTCTCAAATTGTCAAATTTCCAAATTGCCAAATCTCCAAATCCCCAAATTCCCAAACTCACAAATCCCCAAACTCTCATATCCCTAAATCCCCAAATCTCGAAATCCTCAAATCCCCAAATTCGCAAACTCACAAATCCCCAAACTCTCATATCCCTAAATCCCCAAATCTCCAAATCCCCAAATCCCCAAATCCCTAAATTCTCAAATCCCCAAATCCCCAAATTCCCAAACTCACAAATCCCCAAACTCTCGTATCCCCAAATCCCCAAATCCCCAAATCCCCAAATCCCCAAATCCCCAAATTCCGAAATTCCCATATTCTGAAATCCCAGAATTCCCCACCTTCCGAAAATCCCCAAATCCCAAAATTCCCCACCTTCCTAACATCCCCAAATCCCTAAATTCCCCACCCTTCCAACATCCCCCAAAAATCACCTTTATCCTCATAATCCTCCCTATTCTTTCCCTCTTCAACCCCTATTCTTTCACTCTTCAACCACGAATCAAAAATATCCCACTACCGACTTATCGAAGAGCGACAATAATTTATACCTACATTCAGGTAGGTATATGAAAAAATATTTGACAAAATGTGAAGTATAAACTTCCAATAAAAACAAAAGTGACAACTTGAAGACAAAAATTGTGTACCTAACCTAACGAACTGATGAACATGTCAATGACAGTAGTATAATATTGTTTTTAAACGGTGATTATGGACTGATAGACGTGCTAACAATGTTAGTATAATTAGTATTATTTTTGAACAATGATGATCCTGTAAAGGAGACCCGTTCTTTCGTCTGACACATTCCAGTTTGCATTTTCTGATTAATTTGTAAGGTACATCCCGGTGAAGAAATTGTAACGAGAGTCGACACAATTTGGGATAAAAAAACATAATGCCTGACATAATTTAATAAAAAAGATGTGGTAGTATTAAACTAAATATAAAATTAGCATTTAATCAAATTAGTAGAATTATTCTGATTGTGTATGGAAAATTGTAATTTATTAAAAAATTCAAGTCTTGAATACTGTCCTGATCGAGTGTTGGGATCAAATACGCTTAATATATTTGGAACGGTTAATTAACAATTATTAATTAGTTGTGTATCAAATTGTCTATTCTGGAACGTAGATAAATTGGATGTCATTTGATGACAGAAAAGTGTCGTGGAATAGTGCTTGTGGCACATCAATTTAAAGGTTATGCTCTAAAGAATATATCTACGTTCATATTTTGTCGATATTTTCAAAACAAAATGGCGGATGCTTCATTGAAGCGTAACAGTACAACAAGAAAGTTAGAATTTAACATTTTTCACGATGGATCAATTATTTTGTACTATAGACTAAAAATTATTATAAAACCTTTGTGTAATCCTTTTTGTGATACTTCAAGCTTTAAATTGATGTATCATAAGTGGTATTTGGTGATACTTTTATGTCATCAATTTTTATTAGACTAACCATGCTTCAAAAATAGCCATCTTTTTACTGTAACCAGCAGGCGGCCATTTTGTGTTCCGAACATCAATATATTTATACTACGATTTTCCTTAGACTATTACCTTTAATTTGATGTATCATAAGTGGTATTTGGTGATACTTTTATGTCATCAATTTTTATTAGATTTCCCATGCTTCAAAAATAGTCATCTTTTTACTCTAACCAGCAGGCGGCCATTTTGTGTTCCGAACATCAATAGTATATTTATACTATGATTTTCTTTAGACTATTACCTTTAATTTGATGTATCACAAGTGGTATTTGGTGATACTTTTATGTCATCAATTTTTATTAGACTAACCATGCTTCAAAAATAGCCATCTTTTTACTCTAACCAGCAGGCGGCCATTTTGTGTTCGTAATATCAACGGTACATTTATACTACGATTTTCGTCAGCCTTTTACCTTTAATTTGATGTATCATAAGTGCTGTTTTATGATACTTTTCTGTCATGATTTTCCATTGAACATTTTATATGTCAAAATTGATAATTATTTGTTGAAATTAATTGTCAGCCATTTTGAATTTAGAACCTTGTCGAAACACATACACGAAAATTTTTGTCGGATTTCAAGCTTTAATTTCATGTACCATAAGTGTTATTTTATGATACTTTTCTGTCATGATTTTCTATTGAACTTTCTACATTTCAAAATTGATAATTGTCTGTTGAAACCAGTAGTCCGCCATTTTGAATTTAGAACATAGTCGAAATGCAGACACGAAAATTTTCGACATACTTCAAGCTTTAATTTGAAGTATCATAAGTGCCATTTTAAGGTACTTATTTCATCAAATAATATTGCGTTTTGAAATTGACAATTTGATATGCAACATGTACTAATACGTTCGATATAGAAAAAACGTAACGCGTTATCCTGTGCTCTTGATAATCAAAATGACACTAATCTACAATAACTGTAACACGATTTGCATTGTCCGAGTTCCTAACCCCACAAAGAGCACATTGTAATTGATACACCAGTGTAATTACCATGTGATACTATTTATGTAAATTAAAAATACATGACGAGTCATAACAACATCTAATAACCAAAGACGTTTAAAGTTACACAACTCGGTTAGAGTAAATCGTAGGTGTAGGTGTACATAAAATGAATAAATAAACCTGTCACCATGTTCGTCAAAATCAAACAATTGTAACATAAGACGTAAGATTTACCTTGCTTTTGTTTATGAATAATTCTGTAAATAATATTTATGTGCTGTTATGAAAAATTTACCTCTGTAACGTGATATGTTGTGTCTTCACTGACGTGAATGGAATGATGTTCCATTGTTCCAATGATGTTGTTTGTTGATATTATAGCGATGGATATTACAGAATAAGAATTTTACTAATTAAACGTAATTGCAGTATTTTAAATTTTTTCATTTATTTATTGTTCCTTTATCCTTTAAGTGGCCATCGTACGCTTGTACTCAATGTAAATTTGATAAACTTAATGTGGATTTATTATGTTTAATATTTAATACTACATTTTACTAATACATTATATTTAACACAAAATATGTTTAATGTTTAATGTAAATTTAGTACCTTTAATATTTAATATAAATTTAATATATCTAATATTTAATATGAATTTGATATGTTTAATATTTAATAAAAATTTAATATGTCTAATATTTAATATGTTTAATATTTAATAAAAATTTAATATGTCTAATATTTAATATAAATGTAATCTGTTTAGTATTTAATATAAATTTAACATGTTTACTGTTTAATGTAAATTTGATACATTCAATATTTAATATGATATTAATAAATTTAATCTTATATATGAATTTAATAATTTTAATCCTTAACATGAATTTAATAAAAATTAATAAAATTGATATATGTATAGCTAACATAAATTTTTATTTACAGCTTAATCTACTGTCAAGGATCAACCACTATGCCAGAGGTTACATAACTGCAACACGACACAAACACACATCAGGGTATAAGGATATTAATGAATGTACTTACACGCATTAGGTATTTAGATGACTCACTTTAAATAAATATTTTTGCACATATAAACACGCTTATTAAATTAACAAATTAACAACTAACAGACAATTATTTGTTACACTTTAACACATTAAATTATTCAAATATTTTTTCCAATATAAATTATTATTTACTAATATAATACTGATTAATTTTATGGAATTTAGAGTTTTGACATATTAATTACACCACAATAATTTCTCGCACACAATAATTATTAAAATATTAATACATTATTGATTAAAAAACTGTGTCATTAATTATAAAATTGATGTATCGTTAATTACAAGGTTGATTGTAATTAATTATAAAATTGATGTGTGATTAATTGAAAAATTAGTACGCCTTTAATTGAAGAATTAATTCACTACTAATTCAAGAATTATGAGTAATTAAATAATTAATTTTCCAATAATTAGAAAATTAATGTATCATTAATTAAAGAATTTATTCGGCATTAATTAAAAAATTAATTTATCATTAATTAAAGAATTAATTCTCCATTAACTAAAGAAGTAATTTGCTTTTAATTAAAGAATTAATTCACCATTAACTAAAGAATTAATTAACCCTTAATTTCTTAATTAATTCAAGAATTAATTCAAGAATTAATTAAGAAATTAATTCTCCATTAATTAAATAATTAATTCCCCATTAGCTAAAGAATTAATTAAAAAATCGATTCACCCTTAATTAAAGAATTAATTCACCCTTAATTCAAGAATTAATTAAGAAATTAATTCTCCATTAATTAAATAATTAATTCCCCATTAGCTAAAGAATTAACTAAAAAATCGATTCACCCTTAATTAAAGAATTAATTCACCATTAACTAAAGAATTAATTCACTCCTAATTAAAGAATTAATCCAAGAATCAATAAAAAAAATAATTTAC